AAATTGAAATCTTAAGAAAAATTTTTTGTCGTTCTCGGCATAAACTTCACCTCACAGACATGTTAATGCGTATTAATGCGTATACTTTAATCTTGGAAAAGGATTTTCGAATTTGTAGAAGAGAAAAAAAAATTGTTATACAAAAATTACGATTTAGTCGGTAATACAGATGGCTTTAGGCTCTCCTTAATCCCCTTAAATCCCATCAATTTTTTTTCTGAGAAACAAATGAGGGGGACAATCAGCTTTCGTAAAAATATCATTCACATTTGCACAGAATTTTACTCGGGCACCGAGTATCAAATCTTCTTTGATATACAGCAGTAACCAGTCTCGATGCGACAAGAATACAAAATAACCCGGCTATTTTCCGGAAAGCTGTTTCATGAAATTCTGAAGAGGTAGAAAATATATACGGCAAACCATTACATGGAGTATTTCTTCCGCGAACTCACTTGTCAGTGAGGTCATGGCAATTTGTAACCGACTATAGTTGGTGATTGATATTGACGGCGGCTAATTTTTCAACAAATGGCTCGCATTTTTCTATACACTATGTAAATTGATTATACGACCCAGCATTGTGCATTATGCAGCAACGTTAGATTATAAATTACTTATTTTTTGTTCTGTAATTTTACATTAATTTTCAAAAATATTTTTGCCTTTTTTCATAAAGAAAAAATTGAGACATAACAGATATATGAACTCAGATTGCTAATAAAAAGTCACACCTCTGTCGTCGCAGTAACGACGTGTCCTGATAATCTCGCCGTCAACGCTCGCGTAAGTTATTGATCACCGACAGTTATTGATCACACGACGGTAGTTTTATGAGTCCCTCCTTAGGGTAATTTCTATGCTGATGTGAGCTTTTGTTACTAACACACGTACACTTCTTTTTTCTGTAAACAGAGTAAATATTTCCAACAAACTATTTAATTTGTTTACAAATCTATCCATTAGAACTTTCTATTTATCTTCTCTAAAATGCAGTTCCGGTCATGATAGCTACAGTATTATAAAGACTTATTATTACATCGTGATTCTGAAAGTTTTGGTATCTCGCCAGGAACTGTCAAGAATTATATTTATAAGTACGTATATATATATATATATATAATATGTGTGTACATACATGTGTATGTAAAAACATTTATAAATAGTTATAACGCTGTGTAATCAAGCATTTTAATCTCTATTATTATCTGCAAAAGCTTTTTTTACAACCTATGTCAAGGCAATAAATCATACAATTTGTTAAAATTGAAAAAGAGAATATACGCTAAATAACGCTAAAACGTAGAAAAATGAAATAAATTTTCTTTTCCTTAAAAGACAAATAAGAGTAGTTAGTAAGCTCGGATAAGTATTACTAACTCAGTGGTTATATACGAAGTATCTTAGCTGAAGATAAGCTAAAAGTCTCGTGTTCAAAAGAAAGTACAAAAACTTAGTGGACCATGATTGCATTGTGTTTGAATTATATATAGATATTTTCGTGAGTTTAAATAAAAAAATTAAGCCTATGTGTAATACATAAATATTTAATGAAACAAAAGCATTAAAAGTAAAGATATAAAAATAAAGATATATATTTTTTAAATAAATTACGCGAAATTTTTAAGTTCATATTAAAGATCACATAAATTACATTTTATATTATATAAAAAAATAGAATTATGTAAATATTGACCTATCTCATAAATGTTATAGGTTTGTTTCCGAAATAGGGCACATTTTAAACGAATGAAGACTTCTCACAATCGTGTGCGAGATACATGTAAATTGTTCTAAAATTATATGCAAGAAACGAGCATGAGATCGATGCGATATCATAAGCGCAAACTCAGCAAGTAAAAATGTAGTCTTTACGGTGAATAAATTTATCATAAGTGGAAAACCATGAGACTGTAGTCAAATTTCACATCTGGCGAGTGGATTTAATCTGGTAAATGGAAAACACTTTCACAAATCGCGTTCGTAGCATTTCGATGCGCTGCCAAAAATATAATTTTAGTCACTAATGGTTATGATGTAATTCGATTTCAAATAGCGATATGTTACACGTTCCTTTGACCACGCTCGGATCAGTTGTCAGTGGCAGTTAATGGAATGCATTTTATGTTTGCCCAGCCGATGCATTAATATTATATATGCATGTTTACAAACTCATGTGATATTTTGGCGTCTGTTTAATTAATTACATTTATAATCTGAGCATACCCATGATATAGTTATGTATAATATAAATATGTGTATTATAACGAATTAACTATAACTGCAAAACAGTAACTATAACTGTTCGGAAACAGTTTCATTTGAAAGTAAATAAATACAAACATACGAAAAAAATCGTTATTATTTATAGTATATATATTTTGTGTATAGCGAGATATCACTTATGTTTGTTATAATAATATTTGTAAATTGTCATTTTTTTAGTTGTTTACAAAAAAAAGCGAAAATATAAAGAAAAAGGGAAAGAACATATTTAAAAAAGAACATATTAAAAAAAACATACTTTTATTCCTATATAATCAGTTATTACACCAAAATTATATTTTAAAATTAATATGAAATTTAATAGGTACTGAAATTTTTATAATTCAAAATATTAAAATTTATTTTTTGGAAAACTTCGTTTTTTAATTGTGCCATCATTGCAGCTAATAAATGATATAATCCTAAAGTTATAAAATAAAATGTAATAATAAGTGTCTACAAAAGTCTATGGCTTTCCTAATGGCGTGCAACATTACGCTATCCATTACGCGTCATTGCGGCGATGACGATTTAGCTCTTAATTCATTAAATGATAAAAGACGCAAACAATAAAGGCAACAGACAGAAAAGGTATATAATCTTACTTATCTGAATAATTTGAGAAATCTGAACGAAGCACGAATCGTCGATTTAATGTGCTAATTCTGCAAAGTCCGATATGTGCCGCTCCTAAGAGATATTTATATCCTTATTGCCCCCATTTTATCACAATCGGGTGATTATTTTCTCAACAGCGTAACGTATCGATGCTTATATATTAGAAAAAAACATTGTCGCAAAGGGAGGTTGCGTATTAAACATTTTTTTAAAATAACAATGTTCTACCGATGCCGTAAACATTCGTGTAATATGTCTTTGGCTTTTTCTCTTTCAGCCGATATTTACACAGATCCCTAGAGCGATCGTAATTTACGGCGCGTTTTCGTCGGGAATCTCTTGAGCAATGACCGGGCCAACCGACTCCCTCTTAGATAGACCACTGACATTCAGCTGCGGCGCCAAGCAATGTTCCTCGTGATAATGGTACACATCGATCGCGTCAAATTGTCGAACATCGAGATGAACACCTTACCCTATCGCTTGTGGTATAGACATGAGGCAGAAAAGTGCTGAACAAATTTCGTTACCAAACTCATCCATTCCCATGTCCTTTATACACTCCGCTTGTTGACATCGTGCAATCCCGTTTTAGCACTTTATCATGAACATAATTGAGGGGACATTTCAAAGAGGATAAAATAAAATTACATAAATAATTATCGGTTATCGATGTTATCAAATTTTTAATATGGCGTTTAAGCAATTGAAGCATTTCGAAGGATATAACATTTAAGTGGCTATGTTAAAAAATTGAAAACAATTGTCTACAGAGAAGAATTGGTCCGTAATAATATAAAACAGTGTGGAAGAAAACAGCATAGTAAGTACAGAAGTATATAAAAGAGTAATAGGATCTACTTCAAATATCTCTTCCTACTCCGCGAAAGAAAGATATGCTATTAACTTGGAAGATGTTAGCCGCTTTAATTTCGTAGTGTATCACTTTCTGACATCCAGATCGTGTGTCTACTATTTAGATGTTGTATAAATCTTTGCGATAATCAAGATGAGTTAATTTTTGTTTTGTTCCTTTGGCAGAATACAAGCATTATTATTATAGACGTGTGATTTAAGAAGATATTAATAAAAATTTTCAAGAAACTTGTTCGCGATTATACAAAATCTGTAAGAAAATACTTTGATAATATAGTAACTATATCTAGATGTACAATAATTATCTATTGTGAACGTATTATAATTACAATAATGTCACTGGAAGTTGTGCAGTAAACGTCGCCTGACGTGAATGCATAATGTTTGCAACTTAAGAGGCTATCTCAAGAGATCTCAAGATAACAACATCACGATCTTTATTATGGAAGAAATAAGAATTATAAAATTCTGAGATGCACAATAAATAAGATAATTTAAATATTAAATGATATAAAATTGACAACATATATATATATCTACTCATGATAACGAACAGTTTTTCCATAATAATTGTACTTTTTTTTATATGACACCGATTTTCTTTTCAATATTTAACTGAATTAGATTATCGCTAATATTTTACTAAATTAGATTATCGTTAAATTTATCCGTCGCTTTGGTATATTTTAATAAATTTGCAAATTACAATTTGCACTTCGCGCGTGCAATGCTGTCCTATTAATCTAATTACAAATGTATTTGATGTTCAATAAATTCCTAAAATAAATGAGGATGCTTACTGCTCGGTTTTCATCTGTCAGCTACATATACCGCTATTGCGGCCAAATTACATAAGTTAATAATGAATAATGAGATGTATATTAAATTTTTTGAAATTCCCAGGAAAATATATATCAGCGGATAACTACAAGGCAGGTCAACCAGGTGAGGTAAGTAAACAAGCAAAGCAAGCGAGGCAAGCAGGTCAGGCAGGTATATAGGTTTTCTTCTCTACGACCTGCGAGCAGAGAGGACAGAAAGCGTGATAGTTTGAGAGGGAGGCTGGAAAACACGCGCAGGCGTCTCCGGTGCCCTCCATCGTGGCGCCTCCACCCTCCGCGCATCCCCTAACGCCGTCGACTCACCCTCGCTCGGGTGCCTTTCTCGTCGCTCTCCTCTCCTCTCCACCGCCTCGGAGCGTTGCTCGTTGCGCCTCGGTCAATCCGCGAGCAGTATGGCGCTACGCGCTCTGGCACGGCAACGTATGTAGCCGTTACGTCGTTCACCATGTATCCGTGTACCCGTTGACGATCCACCGCGTCCCTGGCAGGGTACATCCGCGCGCGAATTACGGTTGTCTCGCGCGACTGGATCGCTCTTTCGGCGCCTCTAGGAAGCGGAATTGCAAATAAAGGGTAAGAAATAAGAGACTACATAGCGAAAACGGCTCAGCAAAATCACGGTGAAGAGAAAATGATCTAAATTTTGGCGAAGCAAATTTTAAAGGGCGACGCTAGTTAATATGCAATCGCGTGCATCGCATCCGGCCCGACGCTGGCCGTAGACAACATCGGATAAACGTGCTCCAGTAGCGCGTTGCGATGACGAGTGGCTTCCCTCCACAACGTGCGGTAAATAATCAGGCGATCGAGGATGACAGGCTCCTCGACAGTTATCATTGATATCGGTATCAGCGCCGATACGGCGACGATCGGGAAGACAACGACGAAGGCGATGTTAATTACGATTTTTCGGATCGGTCTCACGTGTTTGCGCGCTGCTTAGAATATCGATATGACATTTAGGTCTCGAACGGTCTCGTAAAAGACTATCACGTTTATAGAAAATTTGCTGGAGAGTGCAGTGAGAGGGTACACAGAGCTTCAAACAGCCACCAGCTGATCGTCGATAAATACAACGAGCGCGCGGCATGTCCCTCATCAATTAACACCGCGTGTTCACATCTCACGTTGATAATCTGTGGGTGATCCCTTGGACTACAATAGAGCGACCAATTTGCAAAATGGCATGTCCATTCTCTAGCAGACGCTTCAAACTAACTAACAGAGATGATAGCAGCAGGGAAGGGGACCATCGCAGGATCACGAGGATCCGGCAGGACGAACGGGACATTGATGTCCTGCGACAATCATCGGTTCAAATAACATCGTCGCTTTTAGGAGAAGACGGTGACGACCTTGAGAACACACAGACACTTAATCTGAAGCACCTAAGAGCCGCGGTGACCCTCTTGACTAACCCTTCGGTATTAAATAAACGATGATTTTATTCCTTCAGCTTTCGCTATTGTCGTATACCACTATCCTTACTTCGTCTCTCATCGCAGCGTGCTTTATCACTGTTCAGCATGCACCTTTTTAGCGTCTTAATATCTCATTGACGTGGTAGTAAAAGGTACAAATAGATGTTGCATGCCTTATTCCAAGCTTTTAGATGAAAATGGAGATCTGGAGAAATACCGCGTAAGAAACAATTTTAACGCGCGAAGGATCAGTTGGCTCTTATACGGCTTTTCTTTCAATGAGTTCAAGTCGGATCAGTGCAGGCGGTAACACGCAATTGGTTCAGTTCGCCCGAGGTTTTATTCTACTTTGTCGTCTATGTACACTCGCCTCTGTTTGTGAATTTCCTTCTTTACTCTTGTCGGCTTTAAACCCGGTATAACCGCGGATTTGAAGTACGACCGAGTTCCGTTTTCAAAAGACGGCGACGATCGTGATAAACGAAACGCCAAATTGGGGTCGTTTTGACGTGCAATAATTTACGCGTCGAATGCTCGAATTTATATTTATCATATCGATCTAAATTTGTCCTAAATGGGACGAATAAATTGATGTTTGTCTTAAAATTTAATTGGTTGCGTTCTAAAGAACGCGAAATAAATTATATACGAGTCATAAATAATATACTCTAATAATTCGCGTTGCTTAATAGCCCAGTAAAATTACTTTTGTTGCCCTTTTACCGAGTCACATACATTGGTAATAACATGTGTTTTTGTTTAATTATTATTCACAATACTGCACAAACTCCCACATTCTCTTCCAGTTGTATAGAAACCACTACCAAACTTTCCATACGATAATGCGCTCGCGGCTACAGAAATCACCATGGGAATCGGGACAGTTTTTCATTGAGAACTGGGTCAGAAATATGTAATAAATCCCAACGAAAAGTTTCCTGCCGTCGTTGTTAGAGAAAGCGGGAGTTTCCAAGTTCCTCCTCCGCGCGGAAGCAAACCACGTTAGCGACTCACGCGAACGGCCAATGTTTTCAAACCTTGTCTTGCGAAGGTATAGAGCTTCTTACTAAAGCTTTTTGCATTAAACTTGGCATGGAAAGTCTTGTCTCTACCGCTAATATGTACTTCTTTCATAATGCTTTCACGTTCCTTTTCTCATAGCTTTAGAACTTACATGATAAATTACGCAATAAGCAACTTGAGAAGATATGAAACATGTTATTGATGTTTATTACAGATACAGAGCCTTAGTGCTTTCGTTAAAGCCATCTTCGATAGTCATAAATAACAACTTCTTAACACAAAACTAATCGATATCAGTTGGTAAATATTTTCTCTTTACACGAAGAGATAAAAATTATATTTTTCCGATACATCTTAAAGAATATACATCCGCTGGGTTAGGTCGTACAAGTATCGTCATCAAGATAGTATCCGCCTTCTGATTATTAAATTGCAGTAATTCGATGTGTTTTCCACTGCTATTCAATTACATTGGATCGATTCCCTTCGCATGATCGTATCTAGTTGGCAAATGTCATTGATATTTCAGGGAGTTAATGGCGATTGATAGTAGATTAAGGAAGACGAGAACGTGGCACTTAGGGTGATAATCGGCGCGTGCAAATCCAAGAGGTGTTGAGCCATATACATGGCCCACTATCAGCATTCGATATACGACGAGTGAAGTGGAAATGAATAGTTCCTCGCAAGAATAGGCATGGATCGTGACGCGAAGCTCATATTAACGGATGAAATCGAATGTGTCTCAAACAATACTTGTTTGATTACATCGTTATATTATAACTTTCTAGAAACGGCTCTTTTTCGTGAAAAAACGGATTCTTCGTTTTTCCAAACTCTACTATTGAACAAATATGATTAATTACTTTTCTTGTTTTAAATAGATAAAACCGTACTAGAAAAAATTTCTGGTTGAAAATGAACAAACCAGAAGATTTTAATCAGAATTCAGTTACTTCAACTAGAATTCCTATAATAAATTCAATCAGAAAAATTTGATTTGTCCATTTTCAACCAAAATTCCAATTAGTGTAATCAAACTTTTTTTCTAGTGCAAGAGAGCACTAAAATGAACGCAATAAAAGTGAGAAGTACTTTTTTGCCTTCCTCCTTTCTTTGATTGCTATCTCTTATATAAAATATAATTGGAGAAAATCTTATGCTAGGTCTAGAATAAATGAAATTCTGGGAACGTCGTATATTGGGTTAGCACCGCCTGGATAAATATTACTGAGATGGAAATTCGAAGGAAGAAATCAGAGGTTTCATTATTGATTGAACTTTTATGGAAGTTCAAGCGAGACAATGGATCGTGAAGCGCGAGTTCCGTTTAATTCATGTGACGCTATATTGTATAAAACGTCTCTAATATCGCGCTTTCTAATTGACAAGTGCGTCGGAAAATTTCCAATGACTGAAACTTTCGTCTTCAATGCAGCGCACGGCGGCACGTCTCCGTATCTCTCTTCTGTGATAGTTTAGATATTCTATTAAATCCTTCTCTTTGAGTTCGACGTAACAGGGTACACTGTAACCCATTAAATATGGCCATTTGAAAATTATAATTGCAATTTGAAAATCCGATTGCCAATTCGCTGTAATGTAGTTATGGTTGGAGTTTCAATTTCAACGTTTGCAATTGTGCGATATTCTGGTACTACTGAAAATCAATAACGTGTACAGATTTCGTTCCTAAATGAGGCTGAAATTTTGTAATACGGAGATGGCGCGGTGAAAAGCACGTTCGCGTAAAATTTTTATAATTTCGTTGTTCCGAAGAAATCTTTAAACGTTCTCGTTTGCGCCGTAATTGTAAGTCCTTGGAATTGTATGTTTCCCAGATTTTTTTTTTTTCAAAAAATCGACAAGCCACGTATTTCGAAATGACGTAGAAACGAGTATTCGGCGCGCAGCTTCGAGTTAAAAGGGTCAAGAGCAATTAGTCTAGGAGAGTGGAGAACACGAGATTGCTTTGCAACGTGTACACACAGCCGAATATTCCTTCGTTTATCTCAAACATTGCCTGATATAGCAAGCGGTTATTTACTAAAGCGTATGAATAAATAACCACGAGGAGCGAATGTTACGAATCGTGCGATGGAAAACGCACTCTAAAGCGAACAAACGCTGTAGATCCGGAGCAGGGGTCAGGAGTTATTAGCCCAGTAAAACGCAGCCTAGCAGTATGCGATGTCTTTCTATGAGCTTCCGTTTTAATCTTTCCAAATGAAAGGAGAGATCTTTCCAAGGACGTTCCAAGATATTTCTAGTATAATGGATGTCATTGCGAGCGTTTCTTCATCGAAGAGCCGATATTTTATGATGGCTTCTCACCAGCTCGGCATGACGCGAACATTAAAAAATAAAATCCATATATATCCTATATACGAACCATTATATCAGTACGAGGGGAATTAACACAGCGCGTAAAAAAGTAGGTGTATCGAATAACTACATATATCTATGTGTGTGTGTGTGTGTGTGTGTGTGTGTGTGTGTGTGTGTGTGTGTGTGTGTAGAGGGAAAAAGTACTATAAAATGGATCGGAATTGAATTTTACGAGCACAATACCTGCGCGCAACGCAGCGCGATGGTGAAAAAGGCGGATTGCAAATTCCATATGCAATTAATCTAACGAGCGGGATATCAAGGTATTGTATCTGCAGTTGCTTTTCGACTATCTCCGCAAGGCCAATTATTCTTTTTTCTTTTTTTCAACGTCGTAGAAGAACGTAAGACGAGCAAAAATGCGATGCCGTTCAATGAAGAAATCAACGAAAAAGAGGTACTTCGCCGGAGAAGTACGGTATAACCACTATTTCTCCGCTTGCCGAAGAAATTTTTACATTGAAATATCGAGAAATTCCTTTGTACATCTAAAAGAGCTCCTCGTAAACGAGCATTAAATAGATTATCCCGCCTAATCCCGTGAGTGGCGGTATTAAACGAGCCATTTCTAACGGTGGCTTCTTAAATGCCAGCTGTGTCGTGAGAAATACCCGTTTGCAGTCCGCGAGAAACTTCAGTAGCACGTAACTCACTTATCGTGCTTGACCCAATAATGGTGTACCTCGATCGTCAGTTCGGCGTTAGAAGCACTATGATGTAGGTATCATGCGGCTTGCGTTAATCGAGAGATCGGGAGTTGATACCGGGGCGTCGATTGAACGGCGTTTCACCTCACGCGGGAAATTTACTAAAATAATAACGTAATATCATCGATGCAGACATTAATTACGATTTAATAAACGTCGTCCCGGGGAATGACAAGCGAAATGGATATATTCGGATTTGTGATGTCCTGCGTTTTATTAAATTTCACCCGAATGCCGGATGCGCGCGGATATTTTTAACACAATATTTCTACGTTGAATCATATCGCTCGTAACCGATGCGTGATATTAATATTTCACTGAACTTCCTTCCCTTTCCTACGAATAGCCGTTGCACATCCGACGCAAATATTGCGTATAAATTCACAGAAGCATGAATGTAATTGCTACGATAACTGACGTTGTATCATAGCACTTTAGAACTTTAAGCACAGAGGAAAGTCCATACGCGTACCACTACCTGTCGCATACACCAAGTTGAAATTTAGCATGCACGTGGAAGAGGACTGAGATAAAGCGCTGGGAAATTTTAATTACACGTGCAAGCTTGAGGCATTAGTCGGAATTATCGGGTATTACTTAATAGAGATTAATGTACAATTTTTCAATCAGTGGCTTAAGCTTCGATCTCCGGAAGATTATTCGGGGTAACGTGGTGCAAGTATATTACTACAATCACTGCGAAATCATAGGTATTATTATGAATTACGAAATATAATACGGTCCACTTATGAGAAATTAGTGTCTGATATTCAGTGATACTTCTGAATATCACTAGGTACTAATATAGAGGAGAATGAGAAAACTGCGACCACCTAAAGGAAAAGTTGAATAAAACTTATTACCATTTATCAGTTGCAGAAATTT